CAATTGGTAAGGTCAACTGATTAACAACCTTAATTCTATTTATAACCTTAATTCTTCTTTGGAATATTTATGCAAAATAAATTTATCTATGGACTCTAAAGTTTGGATATGGGTATTGTAAAGTTACCACAGATAACTAAAAGCAATTATGTCTAAGACCCTTTTATTAGGTGTGTGCAGTTAAACACATGAATAGACCCCTCAAAATAAACCCATGAATCTTAAGGTTCTGGTGTTTTCCCTGTGTTCCCCATCTGGCTGGAAGAGTCATCGATGTGTAACAAGACCTAGCAGTCATGAACAACACCTTCCTCTCTCACCTTCCAAACTATTACCAACTCCTAGTGATTTACTCTCCCAAATTATCCACAATCCACTCTCTGTTCTGCATGTCTGCTTCTAATACACTAACCTGTATCTTCATTATCGCTTCATATAAAGTCTTATGAACACCTTTTCCATAATTTACCATCCACAAAATATTAATATTATAAACATACTATGTAGCTATAATTTATGCATAAAGGAGTAAATATAATACTTACTCTTTTATTTAGCACAGGATTAAGAATCTGCGCAGGTACAATCTCAAATTAAAAGGTAAGTCAAGGGCCTGCATGATGATTAGCCCAGTGGGTAAAAATGTTTGCAAGGCAAGCCTGATGACCTGAGTTCAATACCCAGAGCCCACATCAAGGTGGAAAAAGAGAACAACTAACTTCACAGAGTTGTTCTCTGGCCTGCACATGCGTATGATGGCACCTGTGATCCCCAACATCATCAATACATACAATAATAAATAAATAAGTTTTTTAATGTAAATTAAAAACTACTGTTGGAGATGTAGCTCAATGTTGGTTTACAGCCAGCATGTGAAAGGCTCTGGATTCAATCTTTGGCATCATCATCATCATCATCATCATCATCATCATCATCATCATAATAGTAATAATAACTATCATCATTTAACTTAACTTTAAAGCTATTGTATTTTGGCTGAGGATGGTGTCACACACCTGCAATCCCAGCACTTTCGAGGTAGAAATAGGGGGATCAGAAAATTAAGGTCGTCTTCAGTTGCATGGAGAGTTTGAAACCAGCCTTAGCTACATACAACCCTTTCTCAAGAAACCAAAAACTAAAACAGAAACTTATTATGTACTAACTTTGAAAACAATTTATATGCTTATAAAAACTGTAATGTACCAAATTAAACATGTGAACAATTCATACTAATATATTACTTTTAAAAGTCATCCATGATCATTTGAGTCATTCAAATTATATTTTCCAACAAAAGTAGAAGTATTTAAAATAATTAACTTCTTGAAAATTATTAGAATTACTTTTAGTGAGTTTGACTTGATTTTTGCTTGATATGAGAAAATCTTCTAACATGTTTAACAGCTAGAAACCGATTCAGATATTCTTGACATTTTAAACATTTGTCAAAATGATGAGTCAACTTTAACAGATTAAATATTATATCTAAAACATATCATTTTCATTCTCAAAGCCCAGTGTAAAAGTATGGCGATTTTGCTGGCTCGTGTCTTGTCAGCTTGACGCACACACTAGTCTTTTGGGAAGAAGGAACCTCAATTAAGAAAATGCTCCCACCAGATTGGCCTGTGAGCTACCCTGTGGGGCAGTTTCTTGATCAATGATCAGTGTCAGTGGGCCCAGATCACTGAAGGGTGTGCCATCTCTGCACAGATGGTCCTGGGCAGTATAAGAAAGCAGGCTGAGAAAGTCAGGAGGAAGAAGCCAGTAAGCAACATCCCTCCATGGCCTCTGCTTCAGTTCCTACCTCCAGGTCACAGCCCTGCTTGAGTTCCTGGCCCAACTTCCCTCGGAGATGGGGAGTATATAATCTGAGAGTTGTGAGATGAAATAAATCCTTTCTTCCCCAAGTTGCTTTAGTCATGGAATTGTATCACAGGGATAGAAGCCCTAAGACAGGAGTCATACAAAAGCATGAGGATCAAAAATAACCCCTCATAGCCCGGTAGCAGCCATAGCCAAGGCCAGGCCTACAGCACGATTTCACAGAAAGGTTAGGTCAGAGCTTGACTGCTTGTCTTGCATGCGTGCGTCCCTGAGTTCAATTCCCTGGACTTGAGGGAAAAAAGTTAAATACTAAGGAGTGACATCTTACCAATTAGGATGGAGAGCATTGGAAGATGACGAAATAGTGTAATAGCTAAGTATGTTGTTGTTTGATTGGTTGGTGTTTTTGCCTTTTGGGGAGTGACATCATTGTTGCCAAGAATTGATGGTTTACAGTCATCTTAATCTCGTGTTTTCCTAAAATGATCGTCCCCTAACTCTCCACACTTTCTTGGCCCTCTGATCTGCTCAGAATGCTCTCCAGAATTTCTCAGAACAAATCGAATCACTCGCCTCTTCCGTGCTTTGAACTGTTCTCAAAAGAAAGCAGAAAGCACAGCCCTGTTAAATCATGCTCAACCTGGTCCTCATTTTGGTGTCATCACCTGACACATCTTCTGGTCCTCTTTCCAGCTCAAATGCACACACCTCCCTGACACGGAACCGTGTGAGCCCCGGGGATGTTACACATGCTGTTCTGCTGGAACGCGCCTCTGCTTTCCTTGCTTACTTTAAAGCACTTTCTTTAGACTTTTGCTTAATTAAATTTGCCTTTGAGAAGCTAATATAAACAGAAACTCCCTTCAGTGGCACTCATCACCACTGGAATTTAATATTTATTTGTGCTGTTTAATCATTCATCCATTCATTCTCAGACAGAGTCTCATGATACAGCCCTGGCTGGTCTTGAATCTGCAATGCTTCTGCCCCTGCCTCCTGAGTTCTTGAGATCACAGCACCCAGCTGTATTATAGAAAGCTGTAAGCTTAATTCTTTTTCTCACCAATATTTCTTCATTGTCTGTCAAAAATTGGCACATAGGAGTTGTCTACTGAATTTGCTGAATGAAGGCAACATGGACTCATTGCATTTTTAAAGTGTTTGCTAATTAAAAGAAGTACAAAGCCAATGGCAGCCTTACCATACCAACCAGAATAATAAACTGTAATAATCAGTAATACAACTAGACATTGCATTTTCCTTAAGCTGTATTCCATTAATCTTAAAGGTCAATTTAACAAATTGTATCTGACTGAGAGCTACCACACTGTCACCTCAGAATGCTATCATATGTAGGCGATGACAAAGCTCTTCTATATATAATTTCTCTTTGATATTTCCTATCACATCCTGGGAACTTGCAACCCCTTAGGGACACCATTGTGAATCATACTTATCATGGTACAATTCAGCGGTCTCAGACAACACAGGATTACTTGTCGGGTGAGAGGGGTCTGTAAAAAGTGCTGCACCAGCATTTTGCTTCACAGCCTTCTGCTGTGCTAGAGGCTGTAGATAATACCCCAGAACACAACATTCAGGCAGGAGCAGATCCCACAAGAACAGTGTGTGAAAACAGCCACTAACCTCTGTCCATGGCAAATACCCACCATGCTTTTACAGTTCAACTGTTTCATGCTGCCCACTCTGAGGGCTGCATAAAGTATTGAAGACAGTTACAGGTTTCAGCCAAAAATGTGGGGCTTATCACTGCTTCCATCATTAACCAATTGCGTGACTTCAGAAAATGCATCTGCCATCCATCTTTAGGCTAAAACAGGTGAATGGGATTTGAAGAATATGGTGATATTTTATTTGTACTGAAATGTGATTTTATTTGTATGTTAATAAATAAAGTTGCCTGGGGGTCAGAGCTAATAGTAAGCCATAGCAGAGCTGGGTGTTCCTGGCGCACACCTTTAATCCCAGCACTTGGTAGGCAGAGCTAGGTAGATCTTTGTGTGTTCAAGGATACAGCCAGCATTGGAGACACACGCCTTTAATCTCAGTACCAACCATAGAAGACCTGGAGGGCTGTATATACAGGCAGTGACGAGGCAGTCGTGTGGTTGGGTTTACAACCAATGAGAAGGCAGAACAGAAAGTCTGTATAAAGACAAACAGACAGGAAGTAGCTCTCTTTCGGAGAGGTCTCTTGGCTGAAGAGGCTAGCTACAGCAGGCGATAAGGCTCTTAGCTCTGATCTCTTGGCTTTCTTCTTTGCATTGATTCTGTGTTTCTTATTTAATAAGACGGTTGGTTATATCTACAAAAGAGTTTCACCCTTGGTTAGGAGATGAGTATGTAACAAAGGGATACATGAGAATGCATAAATACATATGGCCAGCCAGGCAGTGGTGGTGCATACCTTTAATCCCAGAATTTGGGAGGCAGAGGCAGGTTGATTTCTGTGTTCCAGGCCAGTCTGGTCTACAAAGCAAGTTCTAGGACAGTCAGGGCTACATAGAGAAACCCTCTCTCAAAAAAACCAAAAAAAGAAAAAAGAAAGAAAGGAAGGAAAGAAAGAAAGAAGGAAGGAAGGAGAGAGAGAAAGAAAGAAAAAGAAAGAGAGAGAGAGAAAGAAAGGAAGGAAGGAAGGAAGGAAGGAAGGAAGGAAGGAAGGAAGAAAGAAAGAAAACTAAATATATATATATATGGCAAAAATGTGGTGGCACATTGGCTGAGGTGGCCAGCTTATTAACTTTCTATTACTTTGATAATGAATTACCTTAGGGGTAGGAGCTCACATCCACAAAAGTGAATTGTCTTTCAATTCTACTGGTCAGAAGTTCAGTATGGTTCTACTTGGGCTAAAATTAAGCTTTTGGATTGACTGATGCCCTGTCTGCAGATTTCAGGGAAATCTGTTTCCCTGCCTCTTTTGGTTTCTAAAGGTCACCCATGTTCCTAGGCTCATGGTCTCCTTTCTGCACCAGTGGGTGGGGTTCTCACATGAACTCTTTCAGGGCCTCCCCGGACGTCATTATCTCCTTTCTGGCCACAGGTAACTCTTTACACATTCATTCTCTCTCTCTCTCTCTCTCTCTCTCCAAAGATAGAATCTAGAATTTATCCAATTCTCAACCTGTGGGTCATGACGCCTTGGGTCTACATATCAAATATTCACATTATGATTCACCACAGTAGCAAAATTAGAGTTGTTAAACAAGTAATGAGGTAATTTTATGCCTGGGGGCCACCACAACGTGAACATTAGGAAGGTTGAGAACCACTGAATAGCCCTGGGCATGCTAGGCAAATATGCTATTATTGACCTACATCCCCAGCCTCTAAGAATTTGTCCTATTAGATTGGACTCACCTGCATAATCCAGAATAATTCCCCATAATAATTCTCAGATCCTTATCTGAACCACACCTGCAGAGCCCTTGTTTTCCACATGAATGTCCTGGAATTTAGGATGCACACCTTTGGAGATAATTGTTCTGCCAACCACAGCTGGTTGTATTGCAACATCAGTTTCCTCTTCATCAGAAATAGGAAGTCCGTGTTATTGAGTTTCCTTTGATGGAGTGGAAGCAGAAGTGTAAGCGCAGCTCCTGAGAGTTTTGATAAAAGGCGTTTCTTTCTCTGTTACGCTTTCTGCTGCCCCCCCCCCCATACACATGTGTAAGATGAAGATGGATCCGGCACTCAGCCCATGGTGCAGAAGGCAATGTTGATGAGCACAGCAGGACAATGAGAAGGCAGACTATCCCCATCGGTGGTGGACTCAGTGTGTCAACACTGTTTCAATGCTAGGAAGAAACCCAGCTCCCCTTTTTTTTAGTCCCAGTTACCTAAGGGCCTGATGCTTTCGGCCAAAGGCAATCCTCTCATATACACAGGCTGCAATGAAGCCAACACACTGAAATACAGACAGCAGGACAAAGGGAGGGGGAATGAGGAGAGACTCGGGATCTCCTCTGGCTTATACCAGTTAATGAAGGAGAAGCCCTGGCATGGGCATGAGCATGGCCACACACGTGGCCTCAAGAAAGGTATGACTGGGCAGGATAGATGCACAAGGAATGTGTAGCAGGGCTAACATTTATCAGCCTTTCTCCCACAAGTGAGGCTGGAGCATTCCAAAGTTCTTTTCTACAAACATTAGAATCAAACCTTAATTTAAAAAATTGAAAACATTATTAATTCTCAACGAGAATAAAACAGACCCCCTAAATCTCAATGGCTTAAAATAACGAAGTCTTGTTCTTCACTCACCCTACATATACCTCTTGGGTAGGCAGGAATCTGTGCCATTTCAGTCACAGAAATGGAAATACCCATCTCAGTATGTGCTTCCTGGATCATGGCAGCAGGCAATAGGAAGTAGAGCACAGTGGTTTCCATGAGCAGTGTTTCCCCATAGGCTCAGGCACTGGAATTCTTGGTCCCCAGTTGGCGGTACTGTTTGGAGAGGTTTTGGGAAAATACAGTTTTGCTAAAGGAAATCTGTCACTGGGGTGGGCTGTGAGAGTTCATAGCCTCAGCCCACTCCCAGTTTGCTCTCTCTGCTGCCTCCTCGTAGTTGAAGACATGAGCTCTTATCTGCCCGCTCCTGCTGCCACACCTGTCGCTTGCTGCCAGGCTTCCCTGCCATAATGGACTTTATCCCCCTGGGAACCATAAGGCAAAATATTTTCTTTCTTGCTTTTGGTCATGGTGTTTTGTCACAGCAACAGAAAAGTAACTAATATATATGGTTAGCAAGTGGACAGAATGGCGATTACAAGGAACTGGGAAGTGGGGTGGGGACAGGAGTTGTTTGGTGCCTTGCGTTTCCATTTTGCAAGATGAAAATACTCTGGAGATTTCTTTCATGAAAACATAAAGCAGGGATATTTGGTGAATACTAATCACGATTGCCAACCTTCTCCTCTGAATATAAATATTTCCTTCTCTTTTCTTCTAGTACATAAGTACTTCCACAGACTCCTCTTACTCAGAAAGAAAACTCGCAAGTCCCACACGTAGGAGAATGTACAGAAACCTTCTACAACAGGCCTGTGCTTGCCTTCCTCCACTGACACAAACTTCTGACTGGCTAGGCGTTATCGAATGCCTACTTTGGAGGTGAGGAATGGCTCTTGAACATTCCACATGGGCTCCTAGGAAGGGCTCATTGTCAACTGACTTCCAGAATTCCAGGATTCTCCCTTCAGCAAGTTTTACTGCGTCCTTGCCTAAGATGGTCATTGAGACTTGAGATATGCTGGCCTTAACGGTTGGGCAGCTTCCTGACCTACTTCCTGCTTGTATGTGTTAGGATGCTGAGTGCCAGTTTAGTCTCAGAGAACCACGGTCACATGTAGTCTAGATTGGAGCCTTCTAACGATGAAACTGTCCTACAAACTTACCTTGGCTCTCTACCTACTTTCTAGATATATTTTTGTATTCTCCTGCCCCAATGTCTGTCTTTAGTCTCTTATGCTCCACCCATCTAAAGTCTCTTTCCTATTATTAGCAATGGTACTTTCCTGAACCATTTTAAGTCATTTTGAGTCATCTGGTCCAACTGAATGGCATGATAAGACACCACAGCTCATGTCATCACTTGATTTAATTTTTGTGGAGTTTTATCAGCTTTTGTCGCTCAAGCAGTAATTTTATCTTCCATCACTTGGAGTGAGAGGCAGTTGCTTTTTCCAAGTCCCTGAATTTGCAGACTCTCTAGTCTCTTTCATTCCTTCTTACAGACTAATTCTTCTCTGAATATACATGTCTTTTTTCCTACAATAGCCTATCAAGTGCAACTTGTAGTAACAACCAATAAACAATTAACAATCTTATTTTGATCTTTACCCCAAAGTCAGTTGCGACATTTTGATTTTCCAATTTGCTGAAGACAAAAAGTGTTACCAAATGTGTCAACACTAGGAAATGTAGATCTCTATGCCTCTAGTCCTCAGTGACAGTTTCCTGATTCCCTCTGAAGAGCCATTAAACCAAAGCAACATACTTTAAAGTTTACTATTGAAGACAGCCCCCATTCTTAGGCTGTAAGTTCTACATCACTTCAGGGTAAGGTACAATTCAGTAGAAATAAATTTTCTAAAATTCCAGCAGCTTAAATAAGATGTGTGTTTTCTTAGCTGTGCCCACTGGAGTGTGGTGCTATCTAGTTTTATGTCAACTTGACACAAGCTGGAGTCATTTTGGAAGAGAGAACCCCAGCTGAGAAAATGCCCCAATCAGATTGGCCTACGGGCAAGCCTATGGTACATTTTCTTAATTTGTGATAGATGTATGAGGGCCTAGCCCACTGGGGGTAGTACCACCCCTCACCAGGTGGTCCTAGGGTATGTAAGAAAGATGGCTGAGGAAGCCTTGGGAACCAAACCAGTAAGCAGAACTCCTCCATGGCCTCTGCACCAGTTTCTCCCTGGAGTTCCTCCTGTCTTGACTTTCCTGGATGATGGACTACAAGCTGTACAATGAAATAAGCCCTTTCCTCCCCAAGGGTTTATTCTCCCCCTCCCCCATTACTTTCTGTCATGCTGCTTTATAAAAGCAATAGAAACCCTAACTCAAACAAGTGGTTTAAAGGCTTTGTTGACCACAGACACTCAAGGGCACACAAAGATACTACATCTCTCTACATCCTCTCCCACATTCACAGCTTCAGGGGCAAGGAGTGCAATTTACCCATAAAGCTGTAAATAATCGATAAGAAGTTCTCTAAGCTGTAACTTCTTTGCAAAGACACACCCTACCCAGCGTAAGGAGAGAGATGTGATGTTTAGTGGTTTGTAAAATAGCTGGAAGAACTAAAGAAACAGACTCTAGATTAGAAGGAAGCAGAATCAAAGCAACCGATTCTAAGTAGCTGGAAAGTCTCCCAAAGTCACACCTCAGACCTGGTCATCAAAGGAAGCCACGCCTCTTCTGCCATCAAAACACTCTACAAATCAAAACAGTCTCAATCTAGAAGACACAATCTCCGATCTCCGGCATGGAATAGGCCTGCTATGCCTGCAGAGTGGATGCTGGAGAGCCACGAAGCTATGCTGAGGATCTTTACTGACACAGAAAAGCAAGAAGCAGTCCATGTATAGATGGAGCAAGCGCAGTTGCCTATAACCTCCGTTTTCTAATTCTCATGTGAGCCTGTCTGATTATCCAAATGCAAATCACACACGAACCCGAGTCACAATAGGGACCCCAACACCTGTGGTCGAACAAAGATGATGCAGAACAACTGTGCAGCACTTCTATCATTTAAAACAGAGCGATGGCCATGATATGGGGCATCTATAAAATACCTGTTCGTCACTGTACCCTCATCTACTCCGATTTTAAAAGAGTCCTGTTCAATGCACAAAAAAAGGCTCTGGGAAATTCAGGAAAAATTCAAAGTTTCTGCTGTTTTTTTTATAATTTAAGAAGAAATATAATACACTTTTCTTCAAACAAAAATACATAAAGTACTGCGTTTCGGGCAGATGTACATGACCATAATTCAGCAGATGATCACTTTGTTTTTCCTATGCAGGAGAGTGTCATCTAGGGATTGTTTTCAGATGCACTTCCCAGACACCATCTACATGCAGCAACTGTGATCAAATAGATGTTTAGTTTTCGCATACAAGAAGTGGTGTGTTGCTGGGTAATCCAGAGCCGGGACAGAAACCCAGAAGCCTAGCTTTCGGAACCTGCATCCTTAGTTTGTAGCCCTCATCCCTTTGGACATCAGAGGACTCCTCCTCCTTTCAGACACTGTTAGCAATGTCCAGGACGGAAAGGGCCACGGAACTAAGGTTAAAGACTAGCTAATTGCAGGTGGTGTTTACACTGAGGCCCTGTGGCTTTTTGCATGCATTTCATCACCACAAGCCTTGTCGCTTAGCAACCTGTATTTGCAGTGGGGCTAGGGAACAAAAGTCTTCGTTTTGTTTTGGCTAGAACTATCCCCAAATCTAAATTCTGTTAGAAAAGAAGTTTATGTTGGTACTCCCTTGTGATTAAAAAAAAAAAAAAATTCATTTTACAAAATAAATAGTTTTAAAGCACCATGGAGAATGCCCAACTCAACTCTTGCCCTGGTCTCTCCTGAATCTTCTACAGCTTCCCCCAATCCTATAGGAGCAACACCAGCTCATATCCAGGACAGGCACAGGCTCTGAGACCCAGGAAGGCCTTTAAGTCTACCACAAGTTCAGACCTGCTCACAAAAGAAAGACTTTTCACCCAAGGAAAGACCCTGCAGAATGCCTTTTAAAAAAATAGTTTATAGTAAGAGTTGGTACCCACCCTCCTTACTGTGTGTGTGTGTGTGTGTGTGTGTGTGTGTGTGTGTGTGTGTGTGTGTGAAATGCATATTGTTCAAACATCCATCTCTGCTTAAGAAAGTTAATCCTTTAGTCTAATTTTTTGCCCATCTCAATTGTATCAACATAATTTCAGTTGGCTTTTATTTTAACATCTCTGTCCACACCCAGACCAATATGCCGTGGCAATTTGTTTTCGGTCAGGAAACTGGACCAGTTGCTAAGATAGTGCAAACACAATGCTCTCAATTGTCACTTGGAAGCTCTGCTTAGCTGCTAAGAGCTGCCTCTGTTTTGTGCCTGCTGCAAGGTTCACTTAGGTTCCAAGATGTTAACTAATGTGATCTTGGCTCAGTGAGCTGGGGCTTGAACTCACAACTGTGACTGCAACTCATTAGACTTTTGATAAGTACTTGCTAAAGTTGTAAGATTGTTCTTGTCATGTAAAGAGGTAAATTACTGAGATAAAGCAGACTATTAAAACCCCTTTTTGCTGGGCAGTGGTGGCATATGCCTTTAATCCCAGCACTCGGGAGGCAGAGCCTCTGTGAGTTCGAGGCCAGCCTGGTCTACAGAGGGAGATCCAGGACAGGCTCCAAAACTACATAAAAAAAATAATAAATAAATAAATAAAAAAAAAAAACCCTGTCTCGAAAAAAAAAACAAAACAAAAACCTTTTCAAACTTGTGTGTGTGTGTGTGTGTGTGTGTGTGTGTGTGTGCGCACATGTGAGTCAGAGCACAAGTGTAGCGGTGAGAAGACAACTTGCAGGAGTCCATTCTCTCTTTGTACTGTGGGGTCTGGAGATCAAACCCAGGCTGTCAGGACCTGCAGTCATCTTGGTATTCTCAAACACTGGGTTTGTGGGTCTGCTCTGAAAGGCATGTTTACTGTGGGTGCTGACAGGGGTGGCTTGTCAGATGTGTCTGGGAACACCTAAGGATTCTAGGATCAATATTTCTTTCCTTCCTCCCTCCCTCCCTCCCTTCCTTCCTTCCTTCCTTCCTTCCTTCCTTCTTTCCTCCCTCCCTTCCTTCCTTCATTCCTCTTTCTTTCTTTGCTTCAGTTTCTTGAGGGTAGAAACAGGAGTAGGAAAAACCACAGAAAACCAGAAATTTTTAGCAGAAGTCACATGACCTCATGTTTATAAAATAAAAATTTATCCAGACCCAAAGTCTATAATTTATTCTATGGTTCATCGTCTCTGCCAGTTGAAGAATTAAAAGGCAGGATACGTCTCAAGTGTGAAAGATAGCCGTGGGGGTGGGGCGGACACACACCTCAGACCCAACAAACAGAGAGAATAAGGAAAGGGTGAGGATGTGCACACACACACACACACACACACACAGTTCAGGTTGTGGAGACACACAGAGAAAAGACCCTCTTCAAAGCAGAGGGGGGACTTGGGAGGCTGAAGCCCTGCTGCCCTTAAGGGTTTAAGGGTTTTTGAGAGGGTCTTCCTTCCCCAGTTCAGAGTTGGTTACTTTGAACAAAGACAGGATGGCTGAATGGCCCACAGTTGTGTAACATGTCCGCATGAGGCCTTGAATTTGCTGAGCCAGTTCATCAGCAGGGAGCCCTTCTGACAGGAGAAAAGGCCAGGTTTGGTAACCCGTGGGGAGGATGAGGAAGAAGCCAGCCATCTTGGAAGCTCACTGTCTGTTATCTAGCCAAGGCCCCCCTCCCTATCAAGGAACCTATCTAGTCAGCCGCATGGCAAGTAATAGACTGTAGTGGTATTTGCTCTGCCCATGACCTTGGGCTAAAGGGCCCGAAACTCACTTTTCGTTGAAACACTGCCCAAATACCACTACAATAGGCTAGTTTTTCTGGATGGTGTTTTAAACTTGTCTTTTAATTTTAATGGAGTTTTAAATTTTAAATTAAATCTTTATAGTAAAGATTTAATTATAAAAATAAACGAAAACTAAAAGGCAAAAAAAAAAAAAAACCTTAAAAAGGAACCTTGAAGATTTTCAGGCTACCTTTCACTGCTGGTTAAAAATGTATATATGTATTGTCTTGTGGTGAGAATTCATTCTAACCTGCAAACTCACGCTGTTGTCTGAATGAACTTTTACCTAGCGCTTCACAATTAGAATAGCTACCAACCAAGCCATCCTGAACATCATCTCCAGCTACTTTATGAAACTTAGAGAATAATTTCTTTAATTCTCATGCCCTTAGGCTTAGGTTTTCATTCATTTTTTTTATATTTAACTTAGGCTTCTTTGCTTACACTAAGAAAAGGAAAATGGTAGGTTTGGTTTGAAAGGCAAGTTTACCGCCGGCAATGACAGGGATGGGCTATTGAATGTCTCTTGCCAACTCCCAGGGATTCTGGTATTTGAAGAAATTCAGGAGATATCTGAAATGCTAAGACCTACCTGCTTATAGGACAGGGTGTGGTCCTGCTGGAGAGCGGACTGTCAATGACAGCAGCCTCAGAGAATGTGGAACTCCACCAGAGGGCTTGGCGTTAGCTCTTAACCGGTCTTTGGTACCTTGTGTTATTTCCCCTAGGGCAATGGGAATCATCTTCACTTGGCTATGCTCTCATCTCAAAGCTTGGAGGCTTCCCTCCGCTCAGTTTCTCCTTTTTGAACCAACTGGCTCTTTGCATGGGACATGTAGAAAGAGATGACTAAAAGATTGTAGCCCATTCCCTGGACCTAGCTACTAAGTGTGTCTAATTTATCCTTACATAGTCATTTTGGAGCTACAAAGAGCGAATTAATTACACTCCTTTGAGTTCAAGTGTGGTGATATTGTGTCCCCCAATATATTGTGCACCCTAATTAACTTATCTTGGGTCAGAGAACAGAACAGCCAGTAGATTAGACATAGAGGCCAGAAAATAGTGGCACACACACCTTTAATCCTATCACTTGGGAGGCAGAGATCCATCCCGAACTCTGTGAGTTCAAAGCCACACTAGAAACAGCCAGGCATGGTGACTCATACCTTTAATCCCAGGAAGTGATGGCAGGAAGCAGAAAGGTATATAAGGCATGAGGACCAGGAACTAGACTCCTGTTAAGCTTTTAGGTTTTTGAGCAGCAGTTCAACTGAAATCCATTCGGATGAGGACACAGGGGCTTCCAGTCTGAGGAAACAAGATCAGCTGAGGAGTTGGCGAGGTGAGGTTAGCTGTAACTTGTTCTGTTTCTCTGATCATTCAGCATTCACCACAATACCTGGCTCCGGGTTTGTTTTTATTAATAAGACCTTCTAACGATTCATGCTACATTCAAGCACCATCAGAACCAAGGAAAGGTAAATGCACAGAGGCTGAACCTAAAAGGACTTGGAGATGGGAGAGATGCATAAAACACACTTGAGGCAAGTTATCTGCACATGGGTTAAATTGGACTGAAGTTGGAAAAAAAGAAAAGATGGTTCCCTGTCAGAGGGTCACAGAGAACCCTCGCCTCTCTTGCTGCTAATAGCTACAGGTGTTTGTACAATGGTTACCATAGTAACACTATGAAAAGGTATGGCTAGCAGGAGTTTTGGGTTAGGTACCCTTTGAGGATGTGGGGTCCGGGAGCTGCCTTGAATGCTTCATGGGAAGATAGAAGTGCTTTTAACTGGGTGTGTACAGGTTTTAATTCCTCTTCAGGTATCTTGAAGCCAAGGAATAGGAAGAGTGTGGGGGAAAAAGAATCAATACCAAGCCAAGCTGGAAAAATGGAACACAAGATGAGGTCGACAGAGACAGCTTCACTCACAGGACTGTGTTCCCACTTTGCAAAGATATTGAAAAGTCAGGAGAATTTGATGTGCACTCATTTACTACTTATGATATCCTAAACCATCCCCCAGAACAGCTATCCTCAGAGTGTCTACATTGTACTAGTTCTAAGAAGTTACCTAGAGATGAGTTAGTGTATACCAGACGGGACACCATTTCATAGAGACACATTCACAGATGTCTGTATCGAGGGTCCTGGAATGAAGAACAACTGTTCCAGCACTCGGTATATATGTCTTGAGAACGTAGACCTAGGCTAGAATTCTCAAATTCTAGAGCTAGATCATAGGAAAATTCTCTAAAAACGCAGACGCCCGGGCCCAGTTGTAAGACTCTGAGTTAGTATGTTGGAGTTGGAGTCGAGGAATCTTTACTGTTAGCAAGTTACTCATTTGATTTAGGATCAGTGGTTCCTAGAATATCCTGGTGGCTTTAGTCTCTTCCAAAGTTAGCATACCAACAAATTAGAGGCTTTACCAGTAAGACACAAACAAAATAGAATATTCTTGTCATGTCATATCCATATTTATGAAGGAGTTCCTTCTATGAGAAAGAGCACACATTTGTCTTCTTGTTATTGCTCCCTCGTTATCTATCCCCTTAGAGTGTTCCTTTCTCATCTTCTGCTCACTTTTTGATGCTTTTGTTGTTGTTGTTGTTGTTGTTGTTACACTTGGATTCACTTTGGCATTCTTTGACCTATTAACTGAAGATCCTTGATGTGATCTGGAATTAGAGCTATTGGAAGCAACTGTAGCTAGAGTTTTCCTGCCTGGCCCACAGTCAGGACAAATCTCTCTCACCCGCCAGTCCCACAGCCGCTCAAACCCAACCAAGTAAACACAGAGACTTATTTTGTTTACAAACTGTATGGCCGTGGCAGGCTTCTTGCTAACTGTTCTTATATCTTAAATTAGTCCATTTCTATAAATCTATACTTTGCCACATGACTCGTGGCTTACTGGTACTTTACATCTTCCTTGTCCTGGCGGCTGCTCCAGGCAGTGACTCCTTCTGCTTTCCTGTTCTTTTATTTCTCCTCTCTGTCAGTTCCGCCTATACTTCCTGCCTAGCCACGGCCAATCAGGTTTTATTTATTGACCAATCAGAGCAACTTGACATACAGACCATCCCCGAGCACAGCCAAGTGCAGACCGTCTCAGACACCTGTACTCAGGCCCGTGGTCCTAATCATAATCTATGCTTGGGTATAGCTGCTGGGTAACGCCACGAGGAACCCAAGAACAGGCTCCCACAGGACATAAGAACATCCCACAGCAAGCAACAATACTACAAACTGCAGATCTGACTTCTCCAGCGAAAGCTGAAGGGAAACTGCCAGAGCCTGCCTTACATAAGAGAGGGGCAGATGGGGAGGGACAGGTGGGGAGGGGGAGGAGGGAGGGACAGGTGAGGAGGGACAGGTGGGAAGGGGCAGGTAGAGAGGGGGTTTACAAAACAATCTTTTATCTTTTTTCCCCCAAGACAAGGTTTCTCTGTGTAGCTTTGGAGCCTGTCCTAGAACTCGCTCTGTAGACCAGGCTGGCCTCGAACTCAGAAATCTGACTGCCTGTGCCTTCCTAGGGCTGGGATTAAAGGCATGTGCCACTGCTGCCTGACCACAAAATAATCTTTTCCTTTCAAACTTCCTTTGAAAGTTTCTTTCTATGATTTGAAGATTGTGCAAATTTCTTCCATAGGCAAATTACTGGAGCCTTGAAGGCCTACAAGTTTCATTAGAAGTGTGCAGTACTGTTAATAGTACTGGTTACCAATAATGAAAATACATTTCATGTTACAGCACACACCTACACCCAGTGCACATGCACATGTATGTGCACATACACACAGCATGTGTATCTTTGTATGCAAATATATGGGAAATGGAATTAATCTTATTTCATTTTTAATTGTTTAAAATATTATTGTGTCTTCTAATACATGGTACTGTTTCATAAGGACATTTCCATACAAGAATATATTGTATATTGAGCAATCCCCTCCATGCTCCTCACCTACCCATTTCTCACTCCCCCTCCATCCGGCTGGTCCTCTCTGCTTCTCTAGACAGCTTCTCTTCTACTGTTGTATCATACACACACAATTCGACATATCTATATGAAGCCTAGGAGTGAAACATATGAGAGTTATCTTTCTGAGACTGGCTTAATTCACTTAATATGAATGTTCCCATTTGCATGCCCCAGTGGAAATAATCATCTTAGAAAGCATTACTTGACTCGACCAGGAGCATTGATTTTCTGGTAGGGTCCTTCCTTTCTCTTCCCTTTCTCATCCTCTCGCCCCGTTTCCTTCCCTCTCCTTTTCCTTGATGACAGTCATGACGCTAGGGTGGTTTTGCTATTTGAAAAAGGCTGAGGTCGGGAATTTACTGTTTCAACAAGTTTGAGTCGGAAAGAGGAAGAGGGGTGTGGGAATACAATGGAAGTTTGTTTCCAAATTTGTTCTTCTTTCTTCTTCAAACAGCAACTCCCTGATTCATTCATCGTCTGTCTGAGCTCATGAAGTATCTGCATCCTGTTGAGAAGCTTTTACTGTCTTAGAGGCTGATCATTCAGAAAGCATTACAAATTAAAAAGCTCTTTGGAATACACCCAACGACAGAGGAGCGCCTGCCTGATCCCTGCTGTCCCATGGTCGGCAAGTTCAGGCCACTTTATCTCTTAACCTGAAATTCCAGCTGCCTATCGAATCATTCTCTTTGCCTCTTCCTTTTACCCTCGGCACTGATTTCCCCAGTCTTGAAGGGTAATAAAGGCATAAGGTGTGGTGGGGAGGGTACATAGCTCCCTTGTCCCACCTTAGGCAGGTGTAACCCACTTCCAAGGAAAGACAGCCACTGCTGTGTTCAACTGAAGTTGTTATTTACAGTGTTTGTAAATGAACTAAGAGACACAAACACTCAAGGTTTTTCATAATCACCTTTAAAATTTATTTATTCCTTTTATGTTACATGTGAGTGTTTTGCCTGTGGGTGTGTATCCTTAATGCCCTTGAAGTCAGAGAAGAGCATCAGATTCCCTGGATCTGGAGTGGACGTGGGTGCTGGGAATCAAACCTGGGCC